TCTTTTATCTCTCTTTAAGGACTAAAATACACACACACACACACACACACACACACACACACACACACAAAGACAATTAGTGCTTCAGAAAAGCAAAAGCTTGAAACTTAATTGTAACTAAGAAAACTACCTGATGGGCTTGTGTGGAGGTTGTAGTGGTGATAAGTTGAGTGTGGGATGCTGCGAGCGCCAATATGGAGGTAGCACCTGTTTCTCCTGTGATCAAATACAGATTCACACTTACTGCAATACAAGACTCGTGTGCTTACAGCAGATGTAAGTGAGCTGTGGTTATACCTGTAGAGGCTGTTCCTCCGTCAGTAGCACCTAATGTTGTGTGGCTGGTCAGTAGCGCAGGCACTGGCCCTTTAAAGGCTTGCGTCTCTGCACTGACAACCTGCACTGCCTCCAGCCCAAACACAGCTGCTGCCGCCCCCTGCTGGTGCACACCGATATCACCGCTCTGAGCTGCTGCCGAGAGCTGGGCCGTCTGGAACCAAAAAAAAAAAAAAAAACGAAACAATGGAACAATAACCAGTGGTCACCATCTCAACAGGAATTTACATCTCAACATTTATTTTTTTTTAATAACTAATGAACTAAAGACTTTTTCACAAATATATGTAATTTTTCATTATGAAAACCATAAACGATACAATGGAACAATAACCAGTGGTCACCATCTCAACAGGAATTTACATCTCAACATTTATTTTTTTTTAATAACTAATGAACTAAAGACTTTTTCACAAATATATGTAATTTTTCATTATGAAAACCATTGAAAATAGCGATGCACCAAAATTTTCACAACTAAAAATATTTGGCGAATTTTATTTATTTTTTTTCCGCCTGAACTGTTTAGGAGGGTCAAAATTGCACAAATTAAAGGGATAGTCCACCCAAAAATTAACAACATGACGGTGAGTAATTAATGACATACATTTCATTTTTGGGTGAACTCTCTCTTTAAACCACCATTTTGGTCAATTGGTGACGTTTAAAGAGATAGTTCACCCAAAAATGAAATGCATGTCATTAAATCACTCACCCTCATGTCGTTCATTTTTGGGTGGACTATCCCTTTATTTGTGCTTCTCCAATGGCACATTTTGACTGTGTCTGTCTATTTTATGCACACAACATGGATAAACTACTAACTACTAATTTATTTTCATTTTCAGAATTTGACAAATTGAAACTTACATTTTGGTTTCAGTGTTTTCTTAAAAAAAAAAAAAATCAGTGCATCACTACTTGAAAAATGGCTAGTACAGTATTGAGGTAATATTCAACAAACACAATCATTTTTTCTAAACTTTCTTGATTCTGAGTGGTTAAGATGAAATAGAACCAAGTTTGAATATAACAGTTACATATCACAGATTTTTTTAAACTAGTAACAGTCACAGCCCAAAAACATCTTCAGTTAGACAAATGTACATGTGGTAACTATGGCATAAGCAGAATAAACTGACATTAATTTAGTCTGCTGCCACTGTGTGCACTTTCATTTTAAACCATTCAACATTCGAAAGTTCATTTTTTCATCCATATTAGTATTTATGTTGTTAATCAAGCCTAATTTTCCTGAGCTGTGGGTACCTGCGTGACGGCCCACTGAGCTGCAGCTATAGCTGTACTCGCTACTGTCGCCCCACTCACCCGATTGCCATCTGTCAGAAAAACATCACTGAGAGACAGAGAGAGAACTCATAAAACTCTACCCCATACATGTAAAGCATTATTACAGTAATAAGGGGTTCTGTAAACATTCTCTCACATGCAGGGCCGTGCACAGGGGGGTGGCCCGGTGGCTAGAGCCACTGCCCCTTTGCCCTCATCGGCTGAGTTGCCCCTTTCACCAATCCGCCCCCCCCCATCACCCCAGCTCAAGCAGTCTGTTCCCACTCCGTTAAAGATCCGCTGATTCCGCGCTGTGTTTTCCCGCCCGCTGCGTAGCATCACTCACGATGTGCCCGCTCTCTGGAGTGGAGACCACAGTTCCCAATGTCGTTGCATTAACAGGTGGATGCATTACAATCCACATTACAGTCAGTGGATGATTCTCTGAATTAGTAATTAGGTAGTTTGTTTGTGTATTTCTGTTGGTAATGATTTGCTCTCAGTCTTTTAAAATAACAACAAAATATCCACGTTTTTAAAATTAGAATGTCTAAATCAAATGATTGTTCCCGATCAGATCTAATTTAAATAACACAAAATTCGCTGTTCATTTGCGTGGTTTTTATATGTTGCTAAATCACCTATATGTATCATAAATATGTTTAGACCTGGATAAATTTGCTTTGATGTAACAACCACATCATCTGTTATGCTAAAATTTGACTTTGACAAGCCAAAAACAGTTTTTAAAGTAAATGGGTGCCTTCCATTCCCCCCATGTGCTTCTCCTTTTCACAGTCTGGCAGAAATGATTGGTGGTTCCAAAACACATGGTCACATGACAGTAAAAGTGTACAGTTGCCAAGATACAGGGGGTGGGTAAACTTACCCACTGGCTCAACTTACCCCACTCTCCCCTACTTCCATTGAAGATGAGGCAGAAGCAGGCTCAGAGAGTGAGGGAGAGCCCACTCGTATCAAAACATCTACAATAAAGTCTGAAATTATTACAGAGTGTGCTGTCTTCTCTTTTAATTGTATATTTGTAACAACTGGATATTTGTATTAACAAGCACCCATCCCCCCCAGTGCCCCTTTTTTGGTTTTGGGCCACTGCCCCTCAAAATGTCTGTGCACGGCCCTGCTCACATGTGTGGCTTCACTGCATTTTCCTATTACACAACTATGACGTCAGCATTATGCTGCAGGATCAGTATCAGAACAACATGAACTCATACCGTTTGGAGCCCTTGGCAAACTCCACAGAAATTAGCTTTCCATCGATAGAGAGAAGAGGCTGCAGGGACTGGAGGATCTGAAGCAGCTGTGAAGCCTCCTAAAACACACAATGGAATACCTGTTCGTGTTAGTCTTACACATACGTTTTGTAGCCACGATACAGCGCTAACAGAACTAGTGTCATCGTCTTACCACAATAGTAGTGAGCTGCAGGAAAGCAAACCCTCGGTTGAGCTGCGTCTGTTTGTCTTTGATGAGCCGTACATTTGAAGGTGAGAGAGTAGCAAACGGGGCCAGAGCAGACAAAATGGCCTCCAGCGTTGTATGGGGTCCCAGATTCCTCAAAATCAGAGCTGTAGAGGATAGATGTGAATACAGTGTCTTACCCCAGATGAAAGTGTTAAAGGCATAGTTCACCCAAAAACGAAAATTTGCTGTTCATTTACTCACCCCCAGACCATTCTTTTTTTCTTCAGCAGAACAGTGAAGATGATTTTAATCTGAAACCGTGGTCCTTGGTGATTCATAAAGTGCAATTCAATGGCTAAGTCAATGGCTACCGTCACTTTAAGAGTCAAACACAAAATTAATACCTATGGCTTCTGATGATATACTGAGGTCTTATGAAGCAAAATGATCTGTGCAGTCTCGGACAATGTGGAATTCTGACTCTTTTCCATGAACTGGTTCTTCTGTACTGTTTATTTTAATCAACTAGTTCAAATCATTGATTCATTTACGTAATCACGCAATGACGTCACGTATACCCAAAGCACCCAATAATGATGTAAAAAGCAGGTGTTTTATTTGTCTAAAGCATATAAAGTGAATAAACCTGACTTCATTAGCTCATCTTTTTACATAAACCATAAAAAACATCAAAACTTTCATTTGCGCAGTTCACACATCCGGCTCATTGGTCTTCGGTCTGAGTCAAACTGTTTCCTCAGTTCACTGACTGTTGGAGTAACTGGAGCGCTGAATGAGTTGGCAAAAATCAGCATCATAGGACTTTGAGTCATAGTGACTGTCAGGCATGCCAGAAAAAGAAGTTTGATTGAGTAAATTGCAGACCTGTGGTGCTCAAGCCGTGAACTGCTTCAGTTGGTTCAGTCCGATTTAGTGAACTGGTTAGTGCACCAAAAAGAACTGGTTCAAAAGAAAGATCCGTTCACAAACCGAACAGCACTCCAGACTATTAGCCTGAGGCTCTGGATTACAGTAATAATGTTGTAAATAACGTTCAGTTTCTTGCACAGACTGATCGTTTCGCTTCATAAGACCTCAATATATGATTACGAGCCATGGGTATTAATTTTGTGTTGCGTGATATGCTTTTTTGGCTCTCTAAGTGACGGTAGCCAACGACTATTATGAAAAAAAAATTGTATTTACTGTTCTACTGAAGAAAAAAGTCCTCTACATCTTCGATGGCCTGAGGACGAGTAGATTAGCAGCGAATTTTAATTTTAACTATCCCTATAAATGTGTGTATAACTTACTGTCATTGGCCACCTCGGCAGCCGGGGACGAGGAACTTAAGTTGATTAGTGGAGCTGCTGTCTGGTATATGGCAGGAAGGGGCAGTAAACCCTGAGCTGAGTCCTTTAATTGCCCCAGAGGTAAACTCTTTGGCACCAGAGGCAGTTTCAACTCAGCCTCTGAAAACAAAGGGCCATATGCACAAGGATTTACATTTATATTCATGTTTTTGCCATGCGGTCACAAATAGCTGCAACAAATTAATTTGAATTCACACCTGATTTTGGAACTCCGCATTTGAAACACTTTTCTCTTCGTTTGAAGTTCTGTACTCCACACTGTCAATCAAAACAGATGTTTGGCAAAACTCAAGACAGAATATTTTGTTTACTTAAAGGAAAAAAAAAACAACTTTTTTTTTAATTAATATTTTAAACAGTAGTTTTAAATATTAATATATAAATATTAAAGAGTGTTTGTCCATTGAAACGCCATTCCACCAAAACTTTGAAAAGGTTTATAAAGACATCGTAAAAGTAATCCATGTGAAACGAGCAGTTTAATCCAAGACTTTTGAATCACCGTTTCTGACATAAATGTTGATAAATATACAAAAAATGCACTATTACTTGAATGTTTTTCCACTTGATCTATTGTTGTGACATCATCAATATAATTGTAATATTTAAATATATACATATAGTAAACATCTGTGCTCTATGTATATGTATTGATCGTTTATATGTAAATAAAAGCCTAAATCAAATGTGTTCAATCATACAATGCTATCTGAAAGTGTCTCTTCAGAAGTCTTGGATTAAACCGCTCAATTCATATGGATTAATTTTATAATTAGTCTTTATGAACTTTTTGAAAGTTTAGGGACAAAAATCTCTCATGTTTCAATAAAAATATCTCCATATGGGTTTGGAACAACATGATGGTAAATGATGACAGAATCTTCATTTTTAAATGAACTCAAAGGCATACTTATTCAACAACTAATTAAACTGAAATAAAGAACATTATGAAAGTTACCTTATTGCAGAGCCAGTCTTCATTAGCACGGGGCTTTGGGTCACTGTAGTGCATAGATACACGCTGTCCCAATATAGTGAGCACTCTCTGAAAGTGAGACACAGGAAGAGAGGGGACAAAAGAATAAGAGAGGGTAAATATCATTTTCAGGATGGAATTGGCACACTTGAGTCCTCATCTCACACAAGAGGGGAGGAGAAGACTGGATTAAGGAGAGAGAGGAAGACAGATATCACCATCAGCTTGAGAGGACTCAGAAAGACGCGCCGGCCTGCGTGTGAGAGAGTGTGTGCAGACACCCTCTCCAGCCAAAAGCCTCAACCTCCCCCATTCAGGGGAACACAAACATGTCACGCTCACTCCTGCCCACCCTGAAAACCCACATTAAGCCATAAATAAAACATCCAGACAGAAGTTTCCCAAAAGCAAACTCATACAGCGATGACAGGACATGTAGAATAAAGACCTGAATGTATTATTAAACCTGAGCCAAAAATAAATCTTTGAGGAGCTCAATGCTAAAAAATAAACGACAACTTCCCTCATTCAAGCTGTACTTCATAATGGCATTAAAGAGAGAATTCACCCAAAAATTAAAAATAGTTGTTACTTCACTCACCCTCAAGCCATCTAAGATGTAGGTGACTTTTTTCTTTAGTAAAACAGTAAAAAAAATGTAGCTTAAATCACTAAAAAGATACAGTTCAGAAGAATTATTTGTTTGTGGTCTGTCTTGAGGCTCTGGATTACAGATAATAATGTTGTAAATAATTCAGTTTCTTGCACAGACCGATTGTTTCACTTCACAAGACCTCAATATATCGGCAGGAGACATGGGTATTAATTTTGTGTTGCCTGTATATGTTTTCTTGACTCTTAAAGTGACATTAGCCATTGACTTCATCACAAAGGACCACGGTTTCAGCTAAAAATCTTCTTTTCTTTTCTAATGAGAAAAAAAAGTCACTTGCTTCTTGGATGGCCTGAGGGTGAATACATTAATAGCAAATTGTCATTTTGGAGGAAGTATCCCTTTAATAAACAATCCTTAACATAACTGAAGACTTAAAGAAAACCAACAACTAACCAATTACCTGATTTTGAGCACTTCAGAGGTCTGATATTAAGACAAACAACATTACCCTGTACTTGTGTACATAAAACATGTATGCCTAGATATTGTTTCATGTTCAATTATTTGCTATATAGCACCCCATCATTCTCCCCCAATACAAAAATAACATTTTCTCAGCATTGTTAAAATCAGTTTATGGGCTAGTAACTCAAAGTTTGTCATTTCAAATCCCATTCGGACTACAGACCAACCACAGTCCATTCACGAACCGTCTTCATCATGCGACACGCAAAAACAGCAAGCACTGGCTGAAATAGCCAATTCCAAATCTGACTGCTATACCAGAAATACCAGAAATCGGGGTGCACAGCATGAAACAAATTGGGGTTTAGAAAGGTATTGGTCTGCTACTTTACTTAAAATAATTATCATTTTCAGTTATCATTTACTCTCTCCATTAGCAGCAAGAACACTAGATATCCATGTTCATTTCTAATGGTTTTATATGTGAAATAATTAGTACTTATTACTTCTGTGAAGACTTCTGGTCAAAGTCTAGTTTTCTTCAGCCGTCTCCACAGTTTTCTGTACAATTGTTTGGGGAAACAAAGGCATCATTATTTAGATCAGATTATATTCCAAATGGTCTATTATTGTGGCATCATCAGCACAAAAACAAAATTGTGGTTTACATGACTGTCAAACAAACTTCCTGTCTGAGTGGGCGATTCTTAGTCAGAATAAGCTGCAATGTGGACCTGATGCTCTCTAGCACTTCAGCAAGGAGGTTTACTTCAGGTATTTTGAGGGGAATGACCCTGTAATGAGTGTACCATAAGTAAACTTAAAAATAATAAATGCCATTGTATCACATTATTAACTTATTCCTAGCTATCATGTAAACTGATATTCAGTATACAGGTCAGCTAATCTATGGACTCACTGGTAATAATTTAATCATTTAATTAGAAGATACTTTAGCGGAACACCAAATTCTCATGCTGTTTTGGAACACGTTTCAAAGTCATGTGGATTCAACTAGAGAGACACGAAATATAGGGCAGGTCTCACACTAGGATCTTATGGCTGCCAAGAGACACTGCGGCAGATGACTGAAAAAGGGAGATAATAGCACACACAAACTGAGCTTTCAGGGGAATGCTGCTGAATTTATACTGAACTTGGGCATTTCCAGAAAATACCCAACTAGTAGCAGTCCAATACTTGTGCTAGACAGACAACAGACAGACCTCATTCTTAAGAGATGGCGAAATCTGTGAAATCATAAGGAATCCAGGCGTAAAGGGTATATTATATCCATACACGTGTGGACTTGTAGTGTGTATGCGTGTGTGCAGTGTGAAGTGACCTGGTTGGTCTCCATCCAGCGGCTGGCCTCCTGCAAGTGATTAAACTCGACGAAGGCGAATCCTCTGCTCTGACCTGGAGACACAGCCGTCGCCGGGCCACAATGACAGAACAACAACAACGTAGTGAGGGGTTAGTGTTTTCATATCGAGAGAGAGAGGGAGAAAGATAGAGACAGAGAGATGGTAGAAAGAGATATAGCTGTATTCTAAACAATCATCACTGCCTTTAAAGGGGTCATATGATGTTGCTAAAAATAACATTATTTTGTTTATTTTTGGTGTAATGAAATGTGTTTATGCGGTTTAAGGTTCAAAAAACACATTATTTTCTACATACTGTACATTATTGTTTCTCCTCTATGCCCCGCCTTTCTGAAACGCGTCGATTTTTACAAAGCTCATCGGTCTGAAAAAAAATTGAAATAGCATCGTATGACCCCTTTAAACTTCTATAACTGATGGATGTTTTTGACCCTCTGCTATTTACACCAGCCAATTTAACATTAATTGCACAAAACAAGTATTAGAAAATGTGGGTACACAAAACTATTAGATGTCTGATGAGTTACCAACAAAATCTAACATCTGAGAACCATATACACTACCATTCAAAAGTTTGGTCGCGTGAAAGAAGTCTTTTGGTGAATTTGTAAAATATTACAATTTAAAATAATTTAAACATTTAAAAATATTAAAATGCAAAGCTGAATTTTCAGCATCATTACTCCAGTCTTCAGTGTCACATGATCCTTCAGAAATTATTCTAATTTGTGGAATTTGTCTCTTTGGGTTGTTCAACACCAATCTGGTCGAATCTTAAATTGTCTGATTCACTCTGATACCCTACAGGGGTTTGTTTAGCTGATTTTTGGCCTAAAATAAGGGTGGGCAAAACCTTACATTCTGATGACCAATTATATATATATATATATATATATATATATATATAAAAACAATTTTTTGGATTGTTGTTTTTAAAACATTTTGACACTGCCTGATCCACAAAATTTGCATACAAGTCTAACTTACAATACCTCTAATCTCATTTTGATTATAGGTTTAAACTTTAAGTCTGTACAGTACAGGTTGATACCTCTGGGCCTGAAATGCCAAAGGACTGTGTTTAAAGGTCTCTGGCCAATCACCTCACATTGGATTAAGAATAAAGCTCTTAGAAATAGGCATTCCAAGCAGTCATACTGCAAACAAAACATAAGATATCTAATTGCTAAAAAAGATATTACATTTGAACCATTACCAGTTTAATTCAAATTAAATTTACTAATCTTTAAGCTGTAGTCTATAGCTATTCCACATGCCTTAAAAGTCAATAGTTTTCCTTAAACTTTAATCTTCGACCATAATACTTTCATGCCACTGACACATAAATAGGGTGGAAAAAATAAAGGAAACACCTGATAATACATAATTATCAATGATCTATATAGACTGTTTGCCTTCAAACAGCTTCAGTCCTTGGAATGCTGTCATCAAGTCCACAACCGTGTGGGGAACAGCACCATTCAAGAAGAGAATCTTGCTCTTCTTTGAGGTGTAATGGAGGGGGAAGTGTTTTGCAGAACAACTTGTATAGAACATTTTTACAATGACATTTACATCTGGTAATTAGCAACATCATGGAAGGTGTTTGACCTCATCCTGCTGTTAAAGAAGTCATTCTCAGTTGAACGCTGCAGGCGTTTTCACCACAGGATATGGCAACAGTGTTTTCCCCGTAGGGGGCTCTGGTCCTCTGTTATATAATTAGAGTAGTTGATTTAACATGTTAATTTGATATGTTTATTATGAAAAAAAAATGTATGCAAATCAAATTATTAAGGCAGCCTGTCCCGCCCAGACCTATATGTTATCTTATGTCTTTCTTGTATTCGGACAACAGGACGACGAATGACTGCATTGACGTAGCCAATGAGAATGCAGTTATATGCTCATAAAATTCAAGATATGAGGGAAAAATGCCTCGTATTGGTTTTTGTCATATTTATATCATATGATATAGTATAGCAATATCACACAAGTGCTGTTTTTTCCTCAAATATCCCCTTGATTGCAAATGTGATATTTAATGATCAGAATATCAGAAAGAGCTTTATTGCCAAGTGTGTTTCCACACACAAGAAATTCGTCTTGGTATCAGGAGCTGACAGTACAGAAAGTTGAAATGTATCTAAAATGCCAGCACTTCAGATGCAGCTTCTAAAAACAATGTTAGGTCCACACTGTAGCCTTAAAGGTTTAGGTGTAATAAATTCTATGTTGAATCAAAATATTTCTAAAGCTACATACAAGTCTATTCAGATCTTATTTAACACAATAATGACTTTAAATTATTTTTTGGAGGTAATTTCTTAGCTCAAATTTAATTGGCGGCATAAAATTTAGATTCAAATTTTTAATTGCTTGACGGCCCTAATAAATGATATTACAGTAAATTATAATTATGTATTACAGTCATCAGACATAATGATTTAGCTATTCCTTTATGGATTAGGAACAATATTTAAGAGTTTCCTAAAACACTGATTTAATTGGCATTCTTTGGCTTCTTCAAATGTAAATCCATTAGAACACAGACCAAAGATGAATCCTCAAAGCATCTCTTACTCTTAAAACTAATTAACCTACACTGACTCACCTTTGTAGCTGTGCAATTAAATTACCTGAAATAAACTAAAACCCTTTTAAATGGTGTTTACATTATTTTGTCCACCCTTTTAGTTGAGGACACAAAATTCCAAAACCCATCAAAAAAGCCAGAAATTGCCCACGTAATGGTCAGACACACTTGTCTTCTCAACACAGCTATTGCAAAATACTTACACAATGTAAGATGCAAGATCTTCCCCAGACTTCAGGACAAGAGCAATCAAAGTGAGATGAGGGATAAGGCTGGCAGGACATGTGAAACAAGCTCGGCACTTGGAGTAGTTGTGTTTGTGCTTGTGTGCCAGTGTGCGTGTTTCTGTTATTCCCATGCTTGTGGATGTATCGGGAGTGTTTACGTGAATATTGTCTGGTTAAGAATAGTCTGACAAGGGTTATGGTAAGAAAATAGTAACACACAATAGAGAACTGGAAATAAGCAGTGATGGCTTAAACAAAAATATGTGCAGGGAGTTAAAGAAACGTACACCTGAAGGTTTCAAAGCACCAGTACTAAACAGCATCTTTACTCAACTCAACTACACCAGGAGGAAAGTGAGAAAGAAGAGAGAGGCTGTATTGAAATAACACACTGAACTAGGCAGACGCAAGAGTGAGTTAAGGCTTGTTATGGAAGGCAGTGGAAGAGAGACTTGGAGGTCAGTCTGGGGTACAAAGAAGCCCCCTTAGTAGAGCTTTCTTACCTGAAGACTTGTTCCTCATGAGGCGAATCTCTCTGGGCTGGATCCCTTGCTCTTGCAGTTGAGCCCGAATCTAAAGATCAAACACCAGCGCTTAACTACACCAAACCTCATGGCATGACCTCAAAGAAAATATTTGGACAAAATGAGCATGCTAATGGATGAAATTTGCTGAAACTTTACTTACCCTCAGACCATCCAGGATGTAGAGAGTTTGTTTCTTCATCAGAACAGATTTGTAGAAATGTAGCATTGCATCACTTGTTCACCAATAGATGCTCTGCAGTGAATGGGTGCCGTCAGAATGAGAGTCCAAACAGCTGATAAAAACATCACAATAATCCACAAGTAATCCACACCCCTCCAGTCCATCACTTAACATCTTGTGAAGTGAAAACTGCATGTTTATTAAAAACAAATTCATCATTAAGGCATTTTAACTTTAAACATTCGCTTCTGGCCAAAATAATCCATAATAACGCTTCCTCCAGTGAAAAAGTCTGTCAACTTTTTTTTCTCCTTTCACATCAACATCCACTGACATATTTGTTCAGAACTGTTTTGGACTGTTTTCACTTGTGAATGTGCTTGATCTGTGCATATTTCTCTCCTGATTCAGAAAAGGTGACTTTTTCACCAGAGAAAACACAATTATGGAGAGGACGTGTATTTTAGCAATGGTTTAAAGTTAAAATGTCTTAATGATGTATTTTTTTCTTACAAACATGCAGCTTTTCACTTCACAAGATGTTAACTGATGGACTGGAGTGGTGTGGGTTATTTGTGGATTATTGTGATGTTTTTATCAGCTGTTTGGACTCTCATTCTGAACGTACCCATTCACTGCAGAGGATCCATTGGGGAGCAAGTAATGTAATACTAAATTTCTTACAAACCTGTTCCAATGAAAAAAAAAAAACTAACTCATCAACATCTTGGATTGCCTGAGTCTGAGTACATTTTCAGCAATTTTTCTTTTTTTATTATTTTGGCTGAACTATTCCTTTAAATTCTGTAATTTGTAGCATGATATGTATTACACCAAAAAATGTCAACCTATCCCACAGTTTTTAAAAACTATTTACTATGTACAATGTAAGTCTATAGTGCAAACAAACACCAACTGCCACACAGATTTCTACTGCAAAGTGAATGCAGTTCAGTTTTTGTTTTGATTTCTGTTGTAACAGTATGCCACAGACGTTTACTGAAATGGTTACTGTATCCATATGAAGAAATAAAAGTAAGACAAACCTCGTTAACAGTTGAATTTGGTGGGAGCATTCTCAGCATGACAATGTTGCTGGGTTTTTGGACCTGCTCTGTATCAGACCTGTAGTCCTGGTCACGGGGTTCTGACTCCTCCTGGCTCATTTCCAGAGCATGATGAAAGCTTCCATCTCTTATTTTGTCCCTAGCTGTTTGGGATTGGTCAGGAAAGCCCTAAATCAGGAAGACAGTCATCCTAGATATATATTACTCTGCTCAGGTTCTTAATAACAAAGAGAAATGTTTAGATATGATCAAATGTTTACACAGTAAACAATATAAGGCAAGTAAAAGAAATTAAGATTTAATGATTGTAAGCTTATGATTCATAGAAAACAAAAACAGTTCTGGAGAGAAAAATGTACCAACTTGTTTGTGTGCAGAATGTCTGATATGTTTGTCTTCCTCAGCTCTCCATTCTGCACTGTATTCGCCCTGAGAGTTGTGCCGCCCTTTAACTCTGCCCCAGGTGTTGTCCTCATTTTCTTCACCTCCATCTGGGTTTTGTTCATCCAGATAGACCTTCGGTCCTGATCTAAATGTCTGCATATCTCTCCTGTGTGCATCAATCTCTGGGTCAAACTCATAATCCTCATCATCTTGCTGGAATCTTGAGTGGATATTCTCATTTGGGGAACTTTGGAGGAGACTTTTTCCAAGTTGGCTGTTTTTGGACCCATGGTTTCCCTTTTGTCTGAATACGGGTCGGTTATTCAACAAATTACCTGAGGCAAAATCTCTCACGCCTTCAAAACTACTATCAGGCTCATGCTGTCTTACATTTGTTAACCTGCTATTCAGTCTATTTTCTTGCCCATAGCCGCGATAGTCCATGTCCCTATAGTCATGATCATCAGACTCTTTCCCATAGCGACCCATGCGGTCACCACGACCGCCCCTATGACACCATAAAAGAGAAAGATTTAGGCAATCTGTAGCTTAAAAAAAAAATAGTTCACTCAATTCACTGAAAATGTACTCATCCTCAGGCTATCCAAGATGTAGATGACTATGTTTCTTTATTGGAACAGATTTGGAGAAATTACATCACATTAGCATTACATCACTTGCTCAGCAATGGATGCTCTGCAGTGAATGGGTGCCGTCAGAATGAGAGTCCAAACAGCTGATAAAAACATCACAATAATCCACAGCACTCCAGTCCATCAATTAACATCTTGTGAAGTGAAAAACTGTTTGTTTGTAAGAAACAAATCCATTAAGATATTTTTAGGTTCAAACCATTGCTTCTGACTAAAATACAAGTCCTCCATCCAAAATATTGTGCTCTCCTGTGAAAAAGACATCTCGTCTGAATCAAGAGAGAAATAAGCACAGATCAAGCACCTTTTACAAGTGAAAACAACACAGATAAAGCACCGTTTACAAGTGAAACAGTCCTAAATTAATATATTGGTGGATATTGATATGAGAGGACAAGACAGGATGGACTTTCTCACTGGATGAAGTGTTATTATGGATTTTTTGGCCAGAAGCAAAAGTATAAAATTAAAGGGGTCATACGATGCAATTTCAAGTTTTCCTTTCTCTTTGGAGTGTTACAAGCTCTTGGTGCATAAAGAAAATCTGTAAAGTTGCAAAGACTAAAGTCTCAAACCTAAAGAGATATTCTTTATAAAAGTTAAGCTCGTTCTAACACGCCCCCACATGTCTACGTCACTATGTGGGAAGATTTGCATAACGCCGTCCAAATGTTCACGCAAAGAAAGGAGTAACTTTTGGCGCTTTTCCACTGCGTGGTACGACTCGGCTCGGTACGGCACGGTTCGGCTCGGCACGGTTTGCGTTTCCACTGCAGTTCAGTACCGCTTTAGAGTGGGCGGGATTATTCACATGTCGTTATAGTTGCGACTCGGTATCGGCAAGTACCATAAATAAAAGTATCGGTATCGGGCAAGTACTGGAAAAAGTGGTATCGGTGCATCCCTAATTTAAAGGATTTGCCACTGATGATTCAAACTGAGTTTTGAGCAGTGTAGTGTAGCGCTTGTTGTTTGTCATTTCTCTGATCACAAATGCAGACATGGTTTTATGTTTACGCAGCGCGATGCAACGCAACACGTAAAAAGACAGTATAAGTCATTATAATCCGTAATTATGTCCCCACTGGATGCAACAAATGCCTCGTTTATAATGGGTTTTAATGTTTTTGAATCATCGCTCCGGCCGGACAGGGCATCATCACAGTATGGTAAGGGGCGTAACATTTCCGTCACACGCTTGAGGTATTCGGCCAATCACAATGCACTGGATAGCTGGCCAATCAGAGCACACCTCGCTTTTCAGACCGATGAGCTTTGTAAAAATCGACGCGTTTCAGAAAGGCGGGGCACAGAGGAGAAACAATAATGTACAGTATGTGGAAAATAATGTGTTTTTTGAAACTTAAACCGCATAAACATTTCATTACACCAAATACACAAAATAATGTTCTTTTTAGCAGCATCATATGACCCCTTTAAAATTAAAATCTTGATTTAGTCTCATTTAGTACAAACACGTAGGTTTTTACTTCACAAGATGTTAACTGATGGACTGGAGTGGTGTGGATTACTTGTGGATTATTGTGATGATTTTATCAGCTGTTTAAACTCTCATTCTGACGGCATCCATTCACTGCAGAGGATCCATTAGTGAACAAGTGATGTAATGATAAATTACTCTAAATCTGTTCCCATGAAGAAACAAACTCTCTATATCTTGATCGATCTGAGGCTGAAGTACAATCAACAATCTTGCTCAAGTCAAGAACCAAGCATATGCAATCATGTACTGTCAGTGTGGTAGATAAAACATATTTAAACTAAGCAGTGACAGCAGCATCCTGCAGTGTGAAGTGGCATTTTATCTAAAACTAATTCAATCAACATCCGTCTACTTAGTTATTATAGATGCAGCTTTATGGCATCTTATTAACTAAAAGACAGCATGGAATACTTGTTATATACTATAATACTTGCTTCCCTATATTTGTAAACCCATCTATTACACTGAAGGACTATTTAGGTAAACTTCAAAAAGTTGATGTTGAAAGGGTAAAAAAAATTGTGATCAGCTGCAGGAACTTAAAGGGGTCATGACATGAGAAATCAAATTTGTCTTGATCTTTTGGCATATAAGAGGTCTTTGTACCATTTAACCATCCTGCAATTTTCATAGCTTAAAATGTTCCCCTCATTTAAACAAAACATTTATTTAATCCAGCTCCAAAAATGGCTCATTTGGATCTGAGGTGCAAGATGACATCACCCGGACACAAACATTTGCATAAACATTGCCTCCAGAGCAAGACATCGACAAATAGTATTCTTCTCACCATATGCCCATCCCACTGGCGTTCAGTCACTTAACGGCTGACACTTGATTACGCTGAATGCGAGTGTCGTGTCGCATCAAAAGCAAACAGAAATTACAATCACTTGTAAGTTCATTGTCGGAGCTGAGCTGAGCTGAATGAGAGAGAGAGAGAGAGAGAGAGAGAGAGAGAGAGAGAGAGAGCTCTAAAACAGCGCAGCATGGCCTCGCCCCCTTTGCTGCCTTTTCCCGAGGGCGGGGTTTATCTGGGTTTGTGATGTCACGAACCCGGGAAGTAACTCGTTGTAGTCCCTACCAGCCGTTTTTGTAGCATTAAACTGCCAGAAATTTAAAAGACGATATCTCCGTTTGCATTGAACTTTCAGCTTCGTAACTTTGCAGATATTGTCAGCAACATTACACACTAACTAACGTTAAAAAAAGTGAAATCGCAATGAACCACCCCTTTAAGTGTAGTGTACTCCCCCATGGCTTGCGTCAGCACTGGTCAATGCACTGATTTCTATAAAGTGAAGCTTCTGCTTCTCCCCATTGTGTACCCCTCACGTCACTAGCTCCGCCCTTGCGCCATAGCTCGTGACCAGAAGAGAATATGAGTCGTTTTGAGGGGGGGGGGAGATTAACGTTTTTGATTAAAGATTACGAGGGCACATGATTTTTTTAAAAATAATGAAGTGCAAGGATAAATGATTTATAATAAACACTACAGTATTCCATTAAAAAAATAAGAATTGTTTTCATGTCAACTTTAAAATAAGAGTTTTTCCAAATATTTATTAGTTTTTTGCGCAAAAAAAAAATCCATGTCATGACCCCTTTAAATACTTTTCTGCATGTAGTTGCACACCTAAAATCTTTAGTACATTTAAGAGTTAATGTTGGTTATTTGTCATTTACCCATTCAGGTTTAACAGCATGAAGTTATGTAATAAGGTCAAAATATGTATGCACAAATCCATCCAGTGGTTAAATGCAAATTCATATTAAAATGAGAAGGTAACACTGCAGGCTGATGGACTCTTGACCTACCTCCTCTCATAATCCATGCTTTAGTGCAAGTCGACAGAAACGCCCACTTTTTTCTCTTCCAGCTTCATTTACAACTGTTGACGAAATATGTATCGATCAACTGTCACAAAAAAATGCATAAAAACAAAGATTTTTACTTGACCTCAACTGATCATTTTAGTAAGGGGCAGGACGGAAAGTAGCGTGAGCTGTATGCAATGCAATGGATTGGTCCAAACCAAAAACGTCATTTGCATATCATTTCTTAAACGCCATTTGGAAAAACTAAAAAAGGCTGTAAAAAATGCGCCAGATAAGACATCCAGTAGTTTCTGCAGGGTTGTTCAGTCCAGCAGATGCTAAACTGAGCCTGACACTAATCTATAGAAAAACATACATCTAAATACATACACAACAACCGTCAATGAAAGTTCTATCCCTGTGTGCCCCAAATAAATGTCATTTGCAAAAGAACCCCTTAACGAAGCTGCGCGCATGTCAGCTTAGACTGAGTTCAGAGAACACGGTCTCCAATCCAACGCGCGCAAACGCCGCGACAAGCAGCAAGATACACAGAACCTTTAAAATAAAATAATAATGACAGCATGAAGTCACTTACCTCTGTTACACCAGCAGCGTCACACGCGGCTGAAACTGATACAGTGTATGTGTATGACGCCCCACAGCAGAGCTCAGTAAAATGGCCTCAGTCCGGGAGGCGGGGACACAACTCTCCAGCTGATTGGCTTAAAACACACTGGCATGCAAACGCATAGAAATGTGTATTTGGTAAGGTAACCATTACTACATCCCACACAGTCTCTTTTGTGGCTTAGAATTTCTGTTAACTTGTGACTTTAATATTTCTAAACTCCCTCTTAAATTGTCCAAATTCCACCAGCAAGTGCTTTTAGCCCTGCTACTCACACAATTTCTCTCCTCACACCTCCTTCATTTGGAATAATGCAAGGAATTGGTTTAACAGGGATATTAATCATCTTATGAATATGTTTGATAATTATGGGAATCTTTTAATTTATGAACAATTCATGCGAATTTAATTCGGTCATTAAAGCTATTCCTCCTACTCTTGTTCATCTTGTTAAAAGTCATATTCACTATAACTCTACAATAATGACAAAACCAAAATTAATTTTAAACGGTCTTGAACTGATTGATAAAAAATGCAATAACAAACATATTTGTACTGTTTTCCAAAAACAAAATAAAATAACACCTAAATTCTTTTGGAACTCTATTATTGATAATATTAATTGGAAGACTGCTTGGTTAATTCTAAATATTGTATCAATAACAAAACTAAAGAAATACATTTTTTTTAATCTAGTAAAGGATAAATACTGTTTTTCTTTAAAGGATACTATTGTGTACTATGAAAACAATGCTAACAAAGGTCTTGAATACACTGTTAATTTATTCATATTGCTGGCAAAATTTTATATACATAAACAAAAATGCTTAAATTCATCCCCAATATTTAAGGTATTTTTAGTGGAATTTGATTGTTTTATATCTTCTCTGAAATTGTTAAAAAACAAAAAGTCATTAACATGTATTTTTGGAAGGAATTGGCAGAATTTATTTTTAATCTAGTAAAGGATAAATACTGTTTTTCTTTAAAGGATACTATTGTGTACTATGAAAACAATGCTAACAAAGGTCTTGAATACACTGTTAATTTATTCATATTGCTGGCAAAATTTTATATACATAAACAAAAATGCTTAAATTCATCCCCAATATTTAAGGTATATTTAGTGGAACTTGATTGTTTTATATCTTCTCTGAAATTGTTAAAAACCAAAAAGTCATTAACATGTTTAAAATATTATGACATTATTTTCAGTTCCCGTTACTAATTAATGTCACACTTTGTATAGCACTGACTGTCTTATGCTATGCTCTGTTTGTTATTTGTTCTATTTTCATTAATAAAAACAACAACAAAAAAAAACATTACTAGTAGTAAACATGTTCTACACTGCAGACAACTGAAAATGTACTCTGACCAAACACACCTGGACCAGCTAATTATGATCTTCAGGAGCACTTGATTACAGACAGCAGGAGTAGGGCTGGAACTGAACTCTGCAGGTAGGTTCATCTCTAGGAACAGGAGTGGGCACCTCTGCTGTATTGTCCAATTTATTATCTCAGGTTCCAGTTTATTATCTCAGGTTCCAGAAGAGTGCTCACAAGCGCCCCTATGTGCCCTTTTGCTGAGCTTCACAGCATTCAACACTAAAGTGTGGACTTGGAGGACTGAAACACCAAAATCATTCGTGACACCGAACCACAAAACCAGTCTTAAGTATCACAGGTATATTTGTAGCAATAGCCAAAAATACATTGTATGGGTCAAATGTCAATTTCGAAAAATTTAAACTTAAGACTGGTTTTGTGGCCCAGGGTCACTCATATACTCTGAGTAGTATGCAATATGTTGTATGCCAGCTGCTGAAGACCTACAACAGGCATTTCCCAAAATGTGCAGTATACAATAAAGCACACTGGCACAGAATGAACCGTTAGGCTGCGTCCAAAATCGCATACTTAGTAGGTACTTCTTTTGATTGAGTGATTACTTAGTGTGCAAAAGCCCCTGTGAAGCACTTTTTGAGTTGTAGTTGTATGAAAAGTGCTATAAATGTTTGTTATTATTATTACTTTGTGATCATTAAACGGTATGTTGAATATAATCCAGGCATACTACATTCGTCATGTTGGCATTGTCATGTAACCTACCAACAGTTAAGGCGATCCACTGCCATCCAACTCCTCTCCCGTGGCCTCATGGGACAGTAAGGTGTCCATCAGATGTGCACTTCAAAGTCTTACTGGAAATAGTAGGTCATCCGGGTATTTTTTGCTTACATTTTCAAATTCGGACCTACTACTCTTTTCGCAAACATAAGTTTTTGTTACATAAACATACGTTATGTTTGCGAAAAGAGTAGTAGGTCCAAATTTGAAAATGACATTACATGACAACAGTATAGCATACTACTGTTTCACTCACTATATAGTGTACAGTACACTGTGCAGTCCCCTTTTGGAAACACAAGGAGAAGGAATTTGTGTGAATGAAAAAAAAAGACTTTTCAAATCTGATTTTCTTTACATTTTATTTCTAAATGCAAATGATTAAAAAAAAAAAACTATGCTTTAAATAAATCTTACATAAACATACATTATGTTTGCGAAAAGAGTAGTAGGTCCGAATTTGAAAATGACATTACATGACAACAATATAGCATACTACTGTTTCACTCACTATATAGTGTACAGTACACTGTGCAGTCCCCTTTTGGAAACACAAGGAGAAGGAATTTGTGTGAATGAAAAAAAAAGACTTTTCAAATCTGATTTTCTTTACATTTTATTTCTAAATGCAAATGATTAAAAAAAAAAAACTATGCTTTAAATAAATCAGTATCACTAAATGGTTTAGATCCCTAAAGTACAGCCCAGAATCCTTTCTGAGACATCAGCTATAAAAAAGGAAAAAGCCTGAAGTGGGAGGTTAAACACAATACAGCCCACTTCAATGTTCAGTGTGTGCTTTAGTTGAGCACAGAATAATCAAACAGAATAAAGCCGGGCAGATACACGCATATACAATGAAGAGTTGGCGACCTGGAGACGGACATGCGCTCATTTGACACAAACATTCATATTCTTACATATACAAACATACATACAATCTGTCCAATGCACAAAACCGTCGCCGAAGGCAGGACGCTTATTTAAGACCTTTTTTGTTTGGGACTAAAGAGTGGGTGGAGAAGAATAACATCAAATATCCTAGGTATACAGTCCGTTTGGAAATTTTATCTAATTTTTATTTTTTGCTTGATGTGACCAGAAAACTCTTAAGCCCAAACTTTGTGATGACAGGAAATTACGTCATCTTGTTCCCAACTTGTTCCTGAAGTCTTTCCGTTGGTTTGTCAGACATGATGTCCCAGTATCAGTCCGGTACTAGGACATGAATGCTAGGCTCGTCCCATCCTCCCTCCCTCCCTGCTCTGAAGTCTCCTGGGCTGTTAACTGACCTCCTCTCTTCTACAGGTTTCTATAACAGCAGACAGCCAGACTTTTTGCCCCGTTTCCTCGCTTGCAGCGCAGCCCTGGTGGCCATCTCGAACACCTCCCTCACGCCATCTTTTGTCTTGGCTGAGCATTCTAAATAACCAAAGGCGTTGATTCGGTTGGCCATGTCTCGTGCCTCCTCTGGCTTCACAGGCTCCTGAGTGAAGAAATAATTCAAAGATATCACAAGCATGTCTAATGCTGCGTTCAAGTCCTCCTGGGACGTTCGTACTTACGAGTTGACAAGTCGTAATTATGACGTCAGGTGCGTTCAAGTCAGTTTAGTCGGCACAAGAGGGCGGTGTACCTTCTTTTAATAAATTACAAGAAAATACAACAGGGTGTGCATTTTTTTACTTGGATTTCATTAACTAGCTGCGTAACAAGAACATGACCAATTTAAGTTTATAGGACAACTAAACTATCAATTTAAACAAAAATTTACCGTCAACTACAGACGTTGCATCCATCGATTCCGCCATGTTTCTCATTGACACGCCCTCAACTCGGAAACTCGGGGCTTAAAGAAAATTTCGAGTTTCCCACTCGTAATAACGACTTTGTGGTGATGTTCATGTGCGTTCAACTCGTAAATACGATCTATCCGACATGACTTGAACGTACCATTAGTGACTACCCAATATCAAAGGAATACTTCACCTAAAATAAGAACATTTTCATTCATATAGGACTACTCAAATTGATTCGTCACATTTTGTCCATCTTCCATTAAAAAGACAAAAATTTTATGCAGAATACCCAAGCTTACAATGAAAATAGATGTTATTTATGCTGTACAGCTCTAAAAAAAAAAAACACCTCCAAATATCATAAAATAACTTTGTTTGTTAACCATGGCTGACTGGAGTTTGACAGTATACATTACCATCCACTTAAATGGAAAACAGCAGCTTGGACATTCTACAGCGTTTAAAGGAATAATTGACCTAAAAATGAAAATTTGCTACAATTTACTCATCCTCAGGCCATCCGAGATGCAGATGACTGTTTGCTTATCAGAACAGATTTAGAGAAATTTAGCATCACATCACTTGCTCACCAATGGATCCTCTGCAGTGAATGGGTGCCGTCAGAATGAAGAACTAAAGAGTGGCACCCATGGGATCTGACAGCACCCATTCACTGTGAGTGCATTTTCAGCTAATGTTCATTGCTGGATGACCTTTTCCTTTAAGAATCATACATTTTACTAAGTAAAAAGGCCCTGCCTGTTTCATTTTGGCAAGTTCCCTTCGTGTGTGCTCATCATTTCGGAGATCCTTTTTGTTACCAACGAGGATGATGGGAACATTCGGACAGAAATGCTTCACCTCTGGTGTCCACTTTTCTGGAATATTCTCTGTGATGGATTAAAAGGAGAGAGTGGTAATTGTATTAGTTGTAGATTTCAAGTAATTTTTAAATTATGACAAGTATTTAATGGCTTAACAGAGTAAATCATCTTATATTGAGTTAATTGGTATATATATTTTTGTTTTAGAACGTTAATAAAAACTGAAACTGAGCACCTGAATCTTTGCCTGTTACCTCAGCTTCGTACAAATTCAGTGTGCATGTCTGTTT